GGGGGGGGTCACTGGGGAGCCCCCTCCAGCCCCTCCAACCCCACCGCAGGCGGGGAGCCAGCCCCTGCCACGACGTCCCCAATCCCCAGGACACTCACAGAGAAATTGGGGTCACAGGTGGAGTGGCTGTGGCGGCGGCCCGGGGGGGGCTTATTGTCCAGGATATTCTTTTTGACCACCTTCAGCTCCCGGTTCTTGATGGGGACGTAGCCGTCCCGCAGCGAGATGAGGATGGGCTCCGCGTCCTTCCCCGACAGCCACTCGTCCGCCTCCAGGGCCGGCTCGGGACCCGGCGTGTCGGGGTACAGGTCGTCCTGGAAGAGGTCTGACTGCGGGGGCGAGGGAGACAGCGGTGAGACGGGGGGTGTGTGCGTGTCCCCCAGACCCCCCCCCCCATCTCCCCTGGGACCCCCGCGAGCTCACCTTGCGCGGCACCGTCATGACGATGGGCTCGCACTTGCGCTCGTGCAGCTTGAAGAACCTGCGTGGGACAGAGGTGGTTCAGGGTCTGGCCATCTCCTTGACCCTTCTGGCCCCCCCCTCCACCCCCCCAGGGTTCTTACCTGGCGATTTCACACTTGCTGACGTCCAGCCCGCGCTTGGGCATGAAGCCCATGCCCCGCTGCGGCTCCTTGCTGCTGTAGGTGTTCAGGTAGTGCACGTAGGGTGCCTCGTCCGTGATTTCGAAGTACCGGATGCTGCTGTCACCCTGCGGGGACGAGGACGGGTGTCAACCAGCCCCGGCACCCCCAGGAATGGGGTGGCACGGCGGGGGGGTGCACCCCGGGGTGGGGGGGTTACCTTCCCGCAGAGGTAGACGATGCTGGAGTCGGGGTCGTAGAAAGGCAGCAGGACACCGTTGCTCGTGTCCATCTCCTGCAGGGCGATGGGCTCCTCAAAGTTGTTCTGTGGGGCCGGAGTGGCAGAGGGGGGGTGAGCGGTGGCCCCCAAAACCCCCACCCTGGTTAGTCACACACGTTAACCACGGCACACCGCAGGGACGGGGCTCATCCCCCTCCTCGGGGTACACAACCCTCTGGGTGGGCAGCCTGGCATGCCCCCCCCAGCACCCCCTGCCCCGCTCCCTCTTACCTGTACAACTGGGTGCACCCC